TATATATAATGTTTTTGACATGAATAAATGGTGAAATATTCATAGGACTCAGTCTAATTCAAACTTCTATAACAAAAAGTATTACACCCCTTGACCTTTTGCCACATTTCAGGCTTGAAACCAAAAGATATACAATTGTTATTTTTTTCCTGAAAAATCATCAAGAAGTCGGACACAAGTGAAGTGGAACGACATTTTGTTGTAGAGTTGTAGAGTTTCACCTTTAAAAAAATTAATAAAAGAGTGGGGCACACATAATGAATGAGCCCCTTTACTCTCAGTGCAGCAAACTCTCTCCAGATGTTCAGTGAGGATATCTGAATGATCCAATAATGACCTAAATGACTGATGATGATGATGAATAGAATCCACCTGCGTTTAATGAAGTCTCTGTATAAATTCACCTGCTTTGTGAGAGTCTCAGAGGTCTGTTTAAAGGGCAGAGAGCATCATGAAGAAAAAGAAACACACCAGGCAGGTCTGGATCTCTGCTGTGGCCAAATTTAAACATCCCAAGGAGCAATGTGCAAGCGATAATATTGAAATGGAAGAAGTATCAGACCACTGCAAATCTACTAAGACCTGGCCTTCCCTCTAAACTTTCAGCTCAAACAAGAAGACTGATCAGAGATGCAGCCAAGAGGCCCATGATTACTGAATAAATTGCAGAGATCTACAGCTGAGGTGGTGACTCCGTCCATAGGACAACAACCACTCTTAGACTGCACAAATCTGGCCTTTATTAGGGAAAGCACTTACTAAAAGAATCCATAAAAAGTCTTATTTAAAGTTTATCAGGAGCTACCTGGGAGACACAGCAAACATTTGGAAGAAGCTGCTCTGGTCAGATGAAACCAAAATCAACCTTTTTCGACACAATGCAAAACTTTATATTTGGTTTAAAAGAACACCCCACCCCCACTGTCAAACATGCTTTTGGCAGCTTCATAGATTGGACCTGCTTTACTGCAGAAGGGACAGGGAAGATGATTAAAATTAAGGGGACGATGGATGGAGCCAAATACAGAACCATTCTGGAAGAAAACCTGTTGGAGTCTGTAAAAGACCTGAGACTGGGACAAAGATTCATCTTCAAACAACAAAATGATCCAAAATATAAAGTAAAATTTACAATAGAATGGTTCACAAATAAGCATATCCAGGTGTTAGAATGGCCAAGTCAAAGTCCAGACCTGAATCTAATCGAGAATCTGCGGAAAGAACTGAAAACTGCTGTTCACAAACGCTCTCCATCCAACTTCACTGAAATCGAGCTGTTTTGCAGGAAGAATGGTCGAACATTTCAGTCTACCACTGTGCAAAGGTGGTAGAGACATACCCCAAGGGACTTGCGGCTGTATTCACAAAAGGTGGCGCTACAAATTATTAACTCATAGGGGCTGAATAATTTTGTACACCCAATTTTTCATTCTTTTTTTTGTAATAGTTTAAAATATCCAACAAATTTCGTTCCACCTCATGATTGTTTCTCACTTGTTTATTCTTCACAAAAAAGGTTGTTTTATGTTTAAAGGGTGGAATGTGGCAAAAGGTTGAAAAGTTCAAGTAGACCAAATACGTTTGCAAGGCACTGTACATGTTTTGGTTCAGTTTGAACCCTAATGTGAGTTTTGCTACACTGCGTGTTTATTTTCTTTGCTGATTCTCAGGAGACTTTAAACATTCATGAGGCAGGGGTCAAGCTGCAAAAGTTGAAAGAAACATCTGATTAATGCAAAGTTTGAATCAGAGAGAACAAGGCAAGCTGTGTAAGCAGCAGAGATGCTGGTTGTCTAGTTTTTTTGCTGTCTTATACCATGATGACGTTGCTAACATGTATGTCTGTGCAGCACAGAAATGGATGTATGGCGGCCTGGACAATAACATGGCTCTGCAGTACATCGCCTGGGTCTCCTACCCAGTGGTGCTCATCACTTTCTCTGCAGGATTCACTCAGATACTGGCGCCTCAAGCTGTTGGTAAGACCTAAATTCCATTTATGCACAAACATATATTCATTTTGTCTAATTCACAACTATTTTTCTGTGTTTGACTAATGTAATTGGCACTGAAGTGCACAATGAGTGCTCCAAGGACATGTCCTGCAAATCTCTGCAGGCGGGAAAGTCATAAATGTTCCTCTGATGAGATGTGCATACACAAAACTGTATGCATATCAATCAGCTCCCCTCCCTCTCACGCCTAGGCTATTCATTTATTCATCTTATCCCTCTGTCTGTAATTGCTTTCTTTCATCTTATCTTTTCTCTGCACTCCATCATCCCATCTGGTATTTCTCCATTTTTCTCACTCTTCCTCCCTCAGGTTCAGGTATTCCTGAGATGAAAACGATACTAAGAGGAGTTGTTCTCAAGGAATATCTGACTTTTAAGACCTTTGTGGCCAAAGTCATTGGTCTGACCTGCGCTCTTGGAAGTGGAATGCCTCTGGGGAAAGAGGTAGAGGAATCTTTTCTTCATCACTGCACATTGTGAAATCACTAATATCTAAGCCTCTCCTACTGCTTTTGGTTAAAGCAGAGCCTCATTATTGAAGCTATCCTGAATTAGTGCTGAAAGCTGGCATATCAAATAGACTGGATGTGATTCAGAGAGGGGTTTGGTTGTGTAAAGGATTTTTAATGATATTTCTACTGGTGTCAAATGAAGCGTTCTTCTCTGACAATTGCAATGCTTTTATTAGTATCCAGCTGGGTGACATCTCTCTCTCTTCTCTCCCTCACAGGGACCCTTTGTTCATGTTGCCAGTCTGTGTGCTGCTCTCCTGAGCAAATTCATGGCTGCTGTTTTTGGTGGGATTTACATGGTAAGCAGAACAGTCATTTTACATTTTTGTTGAAAGATTTTATTTGAAGAACATGAGGTTTTTCTTATTTCTTTTTTTTTTGTTCATCTCCAAAGTGAGACAATAAAAAAAAAAAGTTATTTGGCATAAGAGTTGTTAATGTTTAACAATTTCATACTAAAAAACAAGTGCCCCTTCACTATCACCTGTAGCATTCCTTCATGTGCTTTTTTTTAAAATAGACTATTATTCAAGGGAAATTCATTAAAAAACAGATCTAATATAAATATAAAGCAACCCTAGCAAACAAAAGTGCTTAATGTAAAAAGCTCATAAAAGTTCAACGACTAAACTAAAAAATCTAATATTTTATGACAAATGTGTTTTTATTGAACAAGATAATGCATCATGTCCCCAAGAACAACTTGGAAGATGGTAAGAGAAGTAAAAAACTATTAGAGCTTCAGCAAAGAGCTCGATCGTTAATAGAGCTTTTAAAGGCTAGCTACATGCTAACCGGAACATACAGGAACAAGTTGAATCCTATTTGCATCGTGGGAGAAGAAGTGGAGGTGGTGGGGAAATATGAATACCTTGGATTCATCTGGATAACAAACACTGGAGATGCAACTGTGAAAAGCAGACTGTACATATTGAGGAAGTGTTTGCAGCAATGTGCTACAAATCTATATGTCTGAGGAGATTGTGATCTCTTCCTTCATCTGCTGGGTTAACAGCATCAGAGCAAATTACAGAAAAAAGCTCAAAAAGCTGATAAAAAAGCTGGTGTTCTGTCTGATCAGCATACCCCGTCAGACCAGCATACCCATAGTTAGGCTTTTACAGGTAATCTGTGATACCTGGCATTTGCCCAGTCGGCCGGTCCTAATTTCCGTGTGCGAGGGCAGCCCACCTTTAATCATTCCGGCCCCGATACTCACTCTCCGTCCAAAGCACCTAATTGTGAAAGTAAATAACTCAAGGAGCTCAAGAAGTCATACAATGTTATTTACCTAAATGATGCATGCAGTATATATAGCCCTTCCTTGTCATGCACATCCTTGTGATGATTGGCATATGGTGTAATTTTCTATTTCTTCAAACTGTAAAATCCAACAAAAGTGGATGGAAAAATGCCAGGGCTGAAAATCGCTCCCAATCCGAGCCTAGTCAACAGATTTGCTTACCCGTATGCGAGTCCCGTTTATCCCTTTAGTTCTATTTTAAACATACACTTTAAACTACCTCAACGGGAGTGTATGTCTTTAGTCATGTACAAAAAAACTATTTAAGGTCCGATCGCCATAAGCTTCAAAAAACAACAAAAAGTAACTAATTAAATTGTTTTTTGTACAAGACTAAAAGTATCCACACCCATAGAGGTAGTTTAAAGTCTATTTTTCATACAAAACTAAAGGGATCAATTAAAGACATAAACTAAAGGTTTTAACGGGTATTGACTATGAGTATGCTGGTCTGACGAGGTATGCTGGTCTGACAGAACACTGGCGTTGTTCTACTAACTCCTCTAGAACCTCTGGAGATCATTTTACAATAATAAATTCTTAATAAAGGGAAGAAGATTATGGACAATAGTGAGAATGCTTTTCAAAGGATTTTTAAACATCAACAGAGTGTCTTTAGTAAAAGGCTTCTCCAGATCCGGCGCAAGACGAGCCGCTAC